GCCACGTGTACCACCGGTGGTACACGATGTGATAACTGCTCTAAACAAGAGAACTACTTATGTATTGATGATATAATGAAATATTGTGTGATAATATATCGATCTTTAGTCAAAATATCAAATGGCCTGAACGACAAGTCAGGCAAAAATGGCTTAGCACGGAACGTGTTAAGGGTTAATACGGCTTAAATACGTTACGTTAAATACGTTAAATGTTAAATATAGTTGACATTATTACTTTCTGTGATCGTTCTCTCTAATTCAAGTGTGAATTTTTCCTATATTCCCACTTGTAAAATATGCATGCAAATTTCAAAATATATTTTAAATAATTCGAACGAAAATTGTATAAATTAAGAATTGCAAGATGTATCAACCTACAAAAAATAAAATATATTATTAATATACTATTTCAAAATTTTATAAAAACAAAGGAAAAATTTCAAGTGAATTTAAACTCCTTCGTTAATTTTTGTAGCCAACAATAGCGTGTACTTTATATTTCAGTATATATTATTTTACATAATCACATAACCTCTTCTCGTTAACGCATCCCGAAACTGTTCTCCACAATTTAAGTCAATTTTCAAACTACCTAGATTAAAAGTTTTCATAACAAAAATTGAAGTATACAACTGTTTAACAAATAACGAACTGTAATATCCACAACGTTGCTAAATTGAATTGGAGATGGATTCAAACCTATTAATGCATACATCGTTTTCAAAGGTATGGCTTACTAAACTTTGTTTCTAAACTCCTCGTTTCAGCACGACGCATATGTACCTGTTCGTAATAATTTTCGCTGTATATCTCAGTTTCTATCGCGATACACACCGCAACATAACAGCTCACAGATAACATCAGGGGTCGCAGATGCACATGTGACCCAACGTATATTTCGGAGATAAGACCACAGAAATAAACGTTTTTGTACGTTTTTGATCATTTATTTTTTTACAATCGCAAGTAAACAATTTTATCTTACGATTTTACTGATTCATTTAACGTTTGAAAAATTTAACGATTTCGCAGGAAGAAATTAATGGAGACTTTAATGTAAATTATGATACCTGGGATAATACGCGATGAATGTGGGGATGCAAGAAATTTCCAGCGACAGTTGTTTTATTGCTTTGAATAATTATCGTATTCCATTCGGAAATTATTGTTTCACTGGAGAGACAATAAGGGAGTAAAAACAAATGAGGTTGTCGATGCTGTAGTTAATAAAACTTTATGTATCGAATTGATTGATAGCTTATAGTTCGGAAATGATTAAAAAAAATAATAAAAATAAATGAAGTAAATGCGAAAGCTAAAAGTACAGGTTGTTTATAAAATTTATTAACCTTCAAAAAATGACCATATTGGAAAATGATTGCTTCATCATAAAGACACGTGAAGGGTCAAAATATGTGAAGTTGTAAATGCTAAAGCTAGTGTAATAGTTATCATCAGTTATTATCAAGCTGACTAATTATTTGTTGAATTATTAATTGACAGAAAAGTGAAATGTTTCAAATGTTTAAAAAATTTCAAGTGTTTCAAATGCTTCAAATATTTTAATTCTACCAAATGTTTCAAGCGTTTCAAATGTTTCAAATGTTTCAAATGTTTCAAATGTTTCAAATGTTTCAAATGTTTCAAATGTTTCAAATATTTTAAATGTTCCAAATGTTTCAAACGATCCACATGAGCCAAATATTTCAAGAATTTTGAACCTTTAAATATTTCAGAATCTCCAAATGCTATAAAGGAAGAAATTATTCAATTATTTATTGACAAAACATAAAAACTATATATTATTATAACACTATTTTCAGTCATATTAACTATCAATGATTTTATACAAACGCCTCATTCAGAAACATAAAGCAGTTTTTAAATAATTGCACTTATAGCCCCTTTCGTTTTCACTGGACTACTCACTTTGAAAGTGGTGTATCACAACAAATTTAAATTCACGACGGCGAGAAACGCACAAATGTATTTCAACTAAATGTATTAGAATTAAGTCAATGAGAACGTCAGTGAGAACTGTGACGTAAAGTTTCCCCGTGCACGTAGGTCTTCGAGACATGGAACTCGCCATGCCTGCTGCTCATGACCAGTCGCCCCCGAAAACTCCCGCTAATTTCATTGAATCGTCTGTATACTTTTAAATTTTTGTCTTGTGCTCTGATATTCCTCGTTCGACTAGTTCTATCCGTAACAAGTGGTGTAACTTCATTTACAGCCTGTACACGTATATTATTTTAGTTAAAGTCTTAAAGAAATTTTTATAAAAAATATTACAGGTCGGTAAATTAGTAGAAACATTGCCAGACTTGATATAACCTATGTTTGTTGTGAGCGACCAGTAAAGTGTTAATTATAAAGAATATTTAAATGATATTTATAATATATACCTCCACGTATGTCCTGAAGTTGTGAGAAGACCAGAATCGGAGCATTCCATGTAAGACTGGCAGTCCAAACCACAGCTATCATTTTGTACGCATGAAATTGCGTTTGCCATCTTCTGGATTTTAATGGCCTGCAAATGGCGAAGTAACGTTCCAAGGAAATAGCGACGAGTGTCCATACCCCAACAGACACTGACACAGCTGTAACATAATCAATAATTTTTTATGAATGTAAGAAACAGATATTGTTACAGAAATGTTTAGTCATGGGTAGATACTGTTATCGGCGGATGGATCTATTGTGCTTTACAAATTTCAACTCACTGTCGGCAAGTAATTAGTAATTAATTATTAACCCGGAAGATAACGAGAGACATAATCGATATTATGCTGGGTTTATGAGGAACATCATTGTTTTGTATTAGTTTTTGCTGTTAAGGCTTTTATGTTCTTAAGCTGTCAAATTTTCAGGTCCTAGAATTAACAAGTTTTCAAATTTTTAAATCTTTAGGAGTATAAGTTTCAGAAATTTCAATTATGTAAATTTTCAAAGTTTAAAGATTCGAAAATTTATGGAATTGTACAAATGTTTAAATCCCCAAATTCTCAAATTCTCAAATTCCCAAATTCTTAAATTACCAAATTTCCAAATTTTCAAATTCTCAAATTCTCATATTCTCAAATTCTCAAATTCTCATATTCTCAAATTCCCAAATTCCCAAATTCCCAAATTCCCAAATTCTCAAATTCTCAAATTCTCAAATTCTCAAATTCCGAAATTCTCAAATTTCCAAATTCTCAAATTCTCATATTCTCATATTCTCATATTCTCAAATTCCCAAATTCCCAAATTTCCAAATTTCTAAATTTCTAAATTTCCAAATTTCCAAATTACCAAATTTTCAAATTTTGAAATCCTCAAATCTCCAAATCCTAACAACCCAATACTCACTCTCCTGTAATATGATACCAAAGAATTATTTATTTGAACGAACCCATAAAATTAATAGCCTCTGAATTAAATCAATACTCAATTGCTCAAATTCAAAATATATCAAATTTTTATATAAAACATTTTTCAATTTGAAACATGTCAAAGACTGTAAATTTCTCAGAGTATAAATTATTCCAATTTCTCCTCACTATTCTAATACAATGACTACTTATGGCATCAATAAAAGGAATAGTATTTCTGAAAGTGCAGCCTAAACATACCAATTGCTCCAATTACTGCATCTCCTAATGGTGCCATTTATATTCTGCAGTAAACCTTGTTTTCCGGTACGTCCTTTTTAATTACGTATACACGAATAGATTTCAAAGAAACGAATGAATATTCTACGCGATAAATATTGCTTGTTCCATTGGAGAATGCACAATTGCTGCTTAAATTCAGAGATTGCACGGTTATCAATAAAACAGAACAAGAAAATAAGTGATCCGCAATAAACGTCAATTTCATCAATTAGAAATTATAAACTGTGATCACAAATTTTTCTGTCGATTACATTTATAATAATTAATTACGAAATTTTGTAATTTGAGAGGATGATACGAAACATGCACTCAAGGAAACAATTAAAAGAGGCTGCAGGTAACAATAATTAATAAGTTTATATTTGTTTCCTTTAGCCGGTTTCTTTTAGTTGTGAGGGAAAAATATTGAAGACTTCTTTTTTTATATTTAATATATATTTAATAATTAACAGATGTAATTTCAATATTTAATTCGTCTTACTCAATGTATCAATGGGATATTTTATTCAAAGTACAATCTTTTTAACATTCATACTAACCTATAAAATATCTCACTCATACCAACTTTATTCATTCAGCACTCTTACCAACCTCATTCATATAACACTCTTACTAACTCATTATCAAAGAGTAAAGATACAACAAGAGGCGACACTAGACAAGGAAACCTACCTCCTAAAGAGAAACAGAGGACAAAACCAATTTAAATGCCCAAATCAAAAGAATCGTGGATGCACATACGAGGTCTGCCCCAAAAGTATCCGACCTTCCTTCATATTTCCTAGCTGGTGTTATCCTGCGTCATCAGGTGCTATCGATACTCGGCCTAACGCTTGCACGGTTAATCGCTCGTCACTTACACAATTTATTGTCACGATAGTAACAAAATACTATGTATACGAGGTCTGTCCCAAAAGTATCCGACCTTCCTTCATATTTCCTTGCTGGTATTATCCTGCGTCATCAGCCTGGTGGCATCCTTCGAAGTAGTCCCAATTTGATTGTAGAATACTCTGCCAACGACCTTTCTACTTATGGAAACAGTCCTGGAACTCGTTTTTCGGAATAGCCTTTAGAGCGTTCATCGTATTAGTTTCGACCGTTTCTTTATCGTCGAATCGGTGTTCTTTGAGTGGCATTTTCAATTCTGGAAACAACCAAAAATCGCAGGAAGCTACATCAGGACTGTACGGAGGCTGACGGAGCTGTATGACTTTGTGCTTTGTCAAATATTGCTGCACAAGTATCGATGCATGCGCTGGCGCATTATCGTGATGAAGAAGCCAATCACCGCTTGACCAAAACTGAGGCCAAAACTAGTTTTCGGTATTCCAAGATCACATTCTAGTTTTCGCACAGTCAATCGACGATTTTCGTTGATCGCAAGTCGCACACGTTCAATATTATTAAGTCTTGTTGTCGTGGAAGGTCGCCCAGAGCGTGGATTACTATCAACAGATGTGCGGCCATCTTTGAACCGCTTATACCACTCTTTGATTTGTGTGTTGCTCATATACTCATCCCCAAATGCCTTCTTCATCATATCGATGGTTTCCGCACAACTCTTTTCGGGTTTTAAGGAAAATTTGATGTAAATTCGTTGCTCCGATCCTTCCGTCATTTTTCACAACAGCAGAATGTGACGAACGTAAAAAACGCTTCGTAAAGAAATGCACGCTGCACATGAACTANNGGCGTCCCGACGGAAACTACGATATCGTGGGAGTTCGTAAAGCTTTGCAGTTGATACTCATACCCGGCAAATGACGCTAAAATTGTCAGGTGCGAAGAAATTAAAGAAGGTCGGATACTTTTAGGACAGACCTCGTATGCATAGTGTAAGGTGCGCATGCGCACAGTGTAGAAGTATGGCGGTCGAAAAGAATAGTTTAAACCTGCATATTCACCAGTAATTTATTTGTACTAAATATTTTGTCATATCTCTGTAACATTCATCTGTAATTTCCTGTGATATATAGTTTTTCATTTTCTTATAAGTTATTTGTAATAATCATTTCCGTAATACATATTCTTCAAATATATTTTGCACATCAATCATTTTGGTATATTCATTTCTTTTTCAAGTTTTCAATGTCGTAAAATTGATAAAAACACCTCAAAAGATAATATTAGTAATATACAGAAAATTTATTATAAATATATTCAAAATTATTAGAGGTTGACATGAAAGTAGATTTGCTTGATTTAAATTTCCCGCTCGTTTGTATAACTAATTTAAAGGGACAGCGGTTTCGAGAGATCAAAGGTGCTGACAGAGAGTGTCGCCTCTGGTTTACTCTGCGTCATTATGTTGTCAAAACAACCTCGCATTAGCTACACATTTTGCTGCCGGTAAAATTATTGGAAACATTTCCTGCTTTCTCTAATTACAATTTATTATTTCAAATTGATATACTCTTACAAATTTGCAATATAATAGTCTCCTTTAAACAAATTCGTAATGTAGAAAACATCTTTTTATTATTATCTCTGAGGATTTAAAAATGTATTTCATTAGGAAATAAAAAAAAAATGGTAACAAAATTATATAACATAGTATAATTGTATAACAAAATGCATTACTTTTTGAATTGATTTTTGGGGGTAGCAGAACGGATGCGGGTAATAGCACCAGTGTAAACTCGGTATTCGGTGTGCAGTGTACGTAAAATGATTTAGGGTTATACCGCTGACAGGTAGCCCGTTTGCTGCTTTGATGAATTACATAGTAACTATAGCCCTACCCCAAGATAGAATGTGCATCGTAGATCGTAGATTTTAGCCATCGTATACCATGATCGGAACTTTGGCAATTTAGCGATACAAAGCTGCTGCCGCAAATATGTTAATACGATTATAACGTAATTTGATTACATCTCGATATTTGATATCGTGTATCAATTATGATGTGATTTGAATTACACAGAAATTACATTGTATGATAATTCATTTACGATGTAACTTGCATTACATGGTAATTCAATTGTAACTTGAATTATACGGTAATTTGGTTACATAACATAGTAGTTACATTACATCAATTTAATTACATGACATAGTAGTTACATTACATCAATTTAATTACATAACATAGTACTTACATTACATCAATTTAATTACATTACATAGTACTTACATTACATCAATTTCATTACATTACATATGATTCAACTATGCTGTAATTTATACTACATGATTTAAATATTTCCATTCAATTGAAATTTCATTTTAATGAAATTGAAATCAGTTGAATTTTCATTTCAATGAAACTAGCAAAAATAAATATATGTATTGAGAAGTCGATAATCAAGTTCGTGTGTTGATCGATTATTTGTAACATACCGCTCGATTTTGATCGAACATTCGTGTGTTAAAAAAATAAAATCTATATGTTTCTTTGTTACGTTTTTCCTATTAATAATTTTTCACACGTATAAAATATAGTGGGTTATTTATTAGGGGTACCGAAAAGTAATCAAAATTTTGTTTACTGGCAAAAGACATTTATTTACTAAAGAAATCTTAAATGCTAATTAACAAAATAATTTCCATCATTTTCTAACACTTTTTGCCAGCGTAAAGGCAATTGTTCGATTCCCTTTTTAAAAAAAGTCCTTCGATTTTTTATTGAAAAACTTTGAAGTCATTGAAGAAATTTTGAATACCTTTCGGTACCCCTAATATAATTGCTTTCTCAATGTTCATAAATTAAGTTTAATTAACAAATTTTAAAGAGGTCCTTCCAAGTAGTTTTTCTTAAATAATAAATTCATTTAGTCTTTTTTAAGTTACTGTGTTTTTGTGTTATTTTAAATATAATAACCTCCATCACAAATTATTGTGATATTCCATAATAAATTATTGCAACTACAAATGTAATTGACAATTTCTTCTTTCAAACGTTAACATGGTTTCTTCGCACATGTCCACTCTCTTAATTTGTA